ATGGAGGAAGTGCATTGATTTATGTGTACGATTATTTGTGTGGTTATATTTTGATTTAACGCTAGAATGAGGATATTTTCACTTAATTCTTAATCTTTCGGAACACATGGTATATATATGGGGGGTTCCTTGTTTGGATTTTTCGCCCGACGTACTAGTTCCATTCGATTAAGGGTTGAGTGGGAATATAGTTATCCTGGACTGTTAAATATAAATATCCATATATGCTTATCAAGAGTAAAATTCTAAATGTTTCTGGTTGCGGGTTGAATTAGACCCACTATGTGTTTTTTTTAGTATTATTATTTGATTAAGTATGATTTCTGAATTTCGAGGACGAAATTCTTTTAAGGGGGGAAGAATGTAAAACCCCGAAAATTTGAATACTTTATGATAAATATTAATAAATATGTTATACATTTATAAATAATATATTATGATGTTTGAGTATGCTAGGAATTGATTTGAGATCAATTCAATGTATATATGTATATATGTGAGTACAAATACACAAATCATGCACAAAGGCCAAGAGTGAGAATCTGGGAATTTTGACCAGTTGATAGTTTCTATGTTTTTCACACCGATTAATTAAGAATCTGGAAATGTGTATAATACCAAAGTTGTAGGTATCTTCAAGAGATTTCCAACAAATCTTAGATCACCTTATTCTGAGGTCGTATGAGAAAGTTATAGCCAAAATACCGAAGGAGTATTTTCCTAGTCAGACTAGGTTTCCTGGTTCGGGTCTAACAGGTTTGTTTCGGGTTTGTCTCTATAAATACCTATATTTTTCACGAAAATTCCTTTCTTTTATCATATCTAAGAACCCTAACAGCCACCAAACACCCATAAACCCTATTTTGAATTCTTGGAGAGGATTGGAGGCTTTCAAGTTGGGTTTTTGTTGTTTTTTTTTTGGCTTTTGGAGTGGAGATCTCCTTCGACGTTGCTTCTAACAAGTTTTTCCTTCAACCCCAGGTGAGTATCATCTCTACTAATCCCCCTCCCAGTTTTTAAAATATTTTTGAAGAGTTTTTAATGAGTTTTATAGAGCCTAATCAATTATTTTGTGTATAAAAATTGGATCTTTTGTATATATGTATGAAGACTAGGTCTTTTCATGTTAAAGAGATTAAGCACGAATTTATAGAAGTGTTTTAAGATCTGAAAATAATTTAAAATATCGTTTATCTGAATTTAGATGTCTTATGCTTCGTTTTAAAGTTTTGTGCATGATTGAAGGTTTACATATGATTTCTTGTGCAAATAATCATGCTTGTTATGTTCTGTTGAAAATCTGCTGCACATATATACTATTGAGCTAGAAATTTAAAATAACAAATGAAATCCAAATTGAATCAAACTAATGCCAATTGAAAGATATGTGAATCTAGTTTTCAAAACAGAAAACCATACCTAAAGATAGTTTTCCTAGGGAGAGATATACTCATTTTACTGATGATATATCCTGCAGAAAATCTGCTGCACATATAAAATGTTTGACTGGAAATTTGAAATATCATATGAACTCCAAACTGAGCCAAATTAGTGTCAAATGATATCTATGTGAGTCTAGTTTCCAAAACGAAAAACTATTCTTAAAAAGATTTTGTCCAGAGAAAGATATTCTCATTTTACTAATGCTATGTTCTGCAGAAAACTGCAGATGTGCTGATTTGAGTCGACTCATCGGAGTTTTTCCTATTTCGTTTGTATTTCTGCTTGATCAACTACTATGCTTATACTTTCATACAGTGTTCATATATGATCGAGGGTTCTATTGAACTTTTGTTGAACATGAGTAGTTGCCTTGTTTATCGAGTATTAAATTGTAGTATTCATGTTTTCATCTACACATATGAGATGACTTTTCTGACACAAGCTTAGATCTGTACCGTGAGGCATGCACAAGAGTAGAATATGTATACCTTTACTACTAGTATTCCATGGTTTATATATACAGTCCTCGTGTTGGACTATAATCCATTAAAGTCCTCGTGTTGGACTATAATCCACTAAAGTCCTCGTGTTGGACTATAATCCATTTCAGTCATCGTGTTGGACATTTACATATTTGACCACGTCTTGGACATTTGTTAAGCTATGAGTATGACACTTATCTAAATCAGGACATGACATGATTACATGAGATTTGGACATGATAGCTACCTAGGCTGTACATGACACTTATGTAATTTTGACCTTTGACACTTATTTGGTTATGACATGACACAGTATTTAAGTTTTGAGATGGGTTGTATTTCTCTTTATTATTGTTCCTGTATTAGATTTTGGGTTTGGTGTTTAGGGATTTACAATTTGAGATATAAGGTATATACATGAGGGTTTCCTTGTTTGGATTATTTCGCTTGACGTACCTATGCTCGTGTTGTAAATCTCTAAATACTAAAATCTTCTTTTGTTAGGATCTATGATTTTAGAATATTATGTATTCACTGTATTTTCATATACAAGGAGCCCTATCCTTTGGGGTTGGTTGTGATGATGCTCGCTAGCGCTTTGACGCTAGTTGTCCCTCCCCTTTCAGGTAACGAGCCAGGAGCCCGGAGAGTCGCAGGTTGATGGGGATGCATTTTAGCCTCCGCCGTCTATTTAGTTATATATTTCCTTTTGGGGTTTCACAGTAGATTTTTGTTTAGACATTTGAGAGTCTTGTTCTAGAAGTTGTAAAGGCTGTGTGCCTTATTTCCTTTTCGTCAGATATTTGTATTTGAGACTTATTGAGTATTCCAGTTTATCTACTCAGATCTTGACTATGTATTTCTGTTCGTTGGATGATGAGATATTTATGTGACTATTATCATTTCATCAGTATTCCTTGTATTATCTTTTACCTGTTTTGTACCTACACCAGTTGTTGACTCTACTAGATAGATGTTAATTGTGATGGTGAAACATGTTATTGCACGGTGTGGTGCATGACAGGTTTGACATTCTTGGTTTCACCTTGGACTGCAGCCTTGTGTGAACCCAGGGGGCGTCACAGAAACATAATACAATAATAAAAGTTGTCTTATTATTACAAAATATACTTAAAATATTAATATTTTAATTAATTTATCATGCACATTATTATGTTGTTGGTGTTTGATAATTCAATTGATGATGAATATATTGTTTATCTATACTATTTTTAGGAGAAACATTTCTTTTGCAACACTCAAATCATGGAAATTGAGGAGCTGTCCGGTTGTCTATATCCTTCTCATGCTGATTGCAATAACAAGTTGAAAGAGGTTAATGAAGTTCTTTACTGCAATCGTCATAAAAAAAGAAATCAAATATTTAGAAGAAAGGTAAACATATGATATTATAATTTTTTATAAATATAAATTATGTATAGTTTATAAAAACTAAATTGAATAAAACCAATATATAACACAAATATGTATTTAACTTTAGGTATAAACTTACCTTACAAGTGACGGATAGAACATACATCACCATATTTGTAATATTCCATCACAATGTTCTGTATTTGAATGTTCGCTAGGTTTGGTAATTTATATCAAAATTATATTAATTTTTTATAAGTTTCTAATCTAATAGTTGAAATTTAAAATTAATATGTATTTGCTTAAACATGATGCATACAACAAGAAGGTTTCGCTTACAATCAAGAGATGAATTGGTTGAAACATGTGTTTCCATGTTAAGGTTACAGAGTTTAACACAAGTAGATGCATTGAAGACTACATGGTTATTAAAAATCATTAACGATGACGTGGGTGATGAAAAAAATCAATGGGCTGTTATTACTAATTGACGAAAAGGTAACATTTTCATAATCTTATTAATAAATTATATTCCTCAATAGTTTGTAATGTATTCGTTGTTGTAATACTAAATTTATTTTTATTAAAGGATGGAAAATCACTTGATATGACGCTAGTTAACGGTGATAACAATCAATCAATTCAATATACTCCAGACTTATCGACACCTGGAAATAGTATTGACAAAAATTTGATGAAGAAGATGTTTGCTAAATATAATATTAGTTTTATTATTTTAAAAAATTAAATCATTAACATGTTGTACTAAGATGAATGTATTATTATCACAGGATGAGAAACCAATTGAATTGAATGAAGATAGTACCGTTGATAATCAATATGTTAAATTAACTCCAGACTTATCCACACCGATATCCACCACTAATAGCAAAGGCAAAAAAAAAGATGTTTAGCCCAATGCTACACCTAACTCTTCTGCATTTAAAACTCTACCTATAACTAGTGAAAAAATAAGGATAAAATCAGGTTGGTTATATATTAATTAATTTCAATATATAATTTTTAATGTTAAATTTACTAAATAAACATATTTTTTATTTTGTAGAAATTGACAAAGAACCAAAAGAGGATTAAGACGGAGCAAAAATAATTACAAATATTAGAGCTCTTCTTTATATTTTGCTAATAACATCTTATGACTGTTTGATTGATTGAGAACTTTTTTGATGACGCATCATTTGTGAATAATGTTTTTTGAACATTAAATAGTCTTATATCTTAATTTCTTTTAAGCTGCATTTAGTATATTTTGATTATCTTCATTTTATTCATTTTTTATAAAAAATTAGTTTAAATGATCTTAATTTTAATTATACCTTTTATGTAAGTTGTTTAATATCATCATTTTCATACGGATACATGTTATCTAACCTCATTGGGGGTGAGTGAGAGTGGGGTTCATGTGTTTGGAAGGGGGTTGAGTTGTTAGCTGTTAAAAATTATATTCGGCTGAGAGTGATTGAAACACAACGAAATATAGATGAACTGCGGTAAGACCATGCTTAGCACGGGCTAAAACACTAGTTAGATTTAAATTGTAAAACCATTGGTAAATTTTGATTAGGATTTCATAGATAATATATCTTAATCTAGCTGTATTCAAAAGCAAAAGTAGAATATTAGCACTTCGAAAAATTTCAGTTAAACGCCGCTGTATAAAAAATGCCCGTCCAAGACCGCCGTGGACTCCGTCGAGCGGAGGCGATCGAATTGTCCGACCATCGGGAAAGTATTCACCGAGGGACCTCACCATTCTCAAGCTAAGGTTTTGTTCTCTCATAAAACCCTAACTTTTGCGTATTTTAGTAGATTCAGTGTTTATGTTCATCAAAATATGTTCTTTAGCTACAAAATTCCCCTCGGATTGAATCTCACTCATGTTTGATCTTTTATTATTCTTGGAATTTCTAGAAATCGATCGATTCGTAGGTAGGACAGCACGCATTTATGGTTGTTAGGGACGAAATTGTAATGTTAAAATTGAATAGAAAGGGGAAAGTTTTGAAGGACATGAACTGGTTGTCTCTGAGTCAGGGACAGAAGAAGAACAAATTGGTAATTGTGGGAAGCAAGAACAAAGCATTTATCTTTACACTTTTTGTTTCAAACTTTCGAAGTAGATCTCGGAGGGGAAAATGTGACAAAGGAAAATGGAGGATCATATGTCTAGCGTCCTGGATTTGGATTTTTGAATAAAAGTGAGCTTCCGATTAGAATTGACCACTTTACTAAATCTTCCAATTCCTATAGCTCTAGATGATAATAGAGAGAGCAAAATGGAAATGGAATGTGTGGGAAATTCGCTGTCAGATTCTTCCGCCATTTTATGCTCTTTGGAGACGTAAACACTCTAGCATTGGTGCAATGTAGAAGCGTATAGCTTCTTCTAAGGTTGAAATTCACATGCTGTTTGATAATTAGGAAAAGGTTTCTTATGGTATCCTCTGAAAGAAGAATGTCAATAAGGAGAGTCTAATTTTTGTGTAAGAGAAGGGATGAAACTGCTCATAATTTTTTCTTCATGTGGTAAATTATAGTGAATCGATGACAGTCGTCGGGCCTGACCTTAATTCTTGTTGTCGCTCTGATTAGTAGGGAAGGTAAAGAGAGTCAACAAGTGTAATGTTGAGAAAAATTGGGAGGTAAAAAATAAGGATAAATGTCACAGTTCTTATCACCTCGGTATACAACAGAAATTATGGTAATCAATAAACTACATCGTCAATTATTCTTCATTATATCTTTGGTGAACTGTTACTAGTAAATATAATATAACTTGTTTTTGTATCCTTTGTCATTTAGGATTATAAGGAGATGATTTTGTGCTGAGGTCTTTTGATCTCATCCTTTTCCTTTAAGAAAAATAGGGTGTTACATCCATCAAAATTTGAACTGCATGAGTTGGGACTCTCATGGTAATTAGAAAGGAGGCCTGCAAACCCTAATCCAAGATTTTTGTATAAAAATTATACTTTATTGTTATATTACCTTAGAAAAGCAATTTGTCAAAAAAATTTAATTACAGGTGTGGAGGATGGGAGAGATTAACTAATGACCTGGGTCAAGCCTTGATTAACTCTCTGCCTCATAGAAAAAAAGTTTCGACCTTTGGAGTTGGAATTTGGATATCCAAGCAGGTAATGGTTGAGGTTGATTCCATAAAATAACTAAATAGCGAATATGTTCCACTCTATATGCTCCCATTGCTGTACACCAGTCTGGATCTTGTTTCTGTTTTGTTGAACGAAGTTAAAAACGCTTTCTCTCACTCATTGCATAATCGTATTTTCATTTTCCCGTCTTATACTTGAGTACGAACGCTAACAGAAACCACACAGTGCAGGGAGAACTGAAGGGTTTTTTCTCTTTATTTTATTTGTTTGATTTTTGTTCGACCAACAATGATTTTCTTACATATTTTCCCCTCTAGGTATCTGGGTTAGTTCTTCATACTGTGCAAATTATCTTTCTCTTATTCAGCTCTCATATAACTCCTCCATTTGACTCTGCAGGAAAGTTGCAACACAGTCTTATAGTTTGTTCTCACTTGACCCTGTGAAATTGCCAATAATTGCAACAAAGAGCAGTACAAGTTATTGTATAAAATCTGCTATGAGTTACGAAAAGGAAAGAGTGATTGAGTCAAAGGAGACTACTAGTACTTTGAGAGAGAAAGATGCGGTGATAATTGTGGACCATGGATCCAGGCGTCAAGAATCCAACCTAATGCTAAGTAAAGAGATCAGTGATTTATGATTATCCTTTCTTTTTGTTGAGTATAAAAGGCAGAAGCAGAATATCGCTAAACTTTTGTATTTTCTTGAATTGTAGATGAGTTTGTGGCAATGTTTAAAGGTCGAACTGGGTACCATATAGTGGAGCCTGCTCACATGGTAACATTCCATCCTTTTATCATTTTGTTACCTTAGAATGATGGACTGTTGTCACTCTGTCTATAGATCCGTAAATATGTTTATATGGTGTTACACTTTTTGGTTTTTTATATATACCCCTTTAATCATGCATATTTGCAAATCTACCCCTCAAATATTGGTATTTGCGAAACTACCCCCAAATCATCAACTTTGGAAAAAAAGTACGCTCAAATCAACAAATCATCAACTTTGTTGGATATGGGCTATTTCGTCGATGTTTTTACAATGCAATTACACATCAGGCTACCAAAGTTGATTGTATGTTGATTTGTGGGGTTTCTCCCCCTCCCAAATTGATTTGGGGATAGTTTTGCAAGTACTGAGGTCTTGGGACTTGTTTTGCAAATACGCATGATTTATATATGCAAAGAAAAAACCCAAGTTAAAAAAAATCTTTTGAACCAGTGTTAGAATTATTAATAAATCAATGATGCATAATGCAAATACTTAAATTTCCAATTTATTTAATCAAGATAATAAGATATGGAAGAAAGTTACTAAGTTGTGTTTATTCTTGCAGTACGTTTGAACTATAATAATATAACATGTCAAATATGGGAGTGGACTGTTGAAAAGTCGAGATCTCATATTTTTTCCTGAAAGATTTAACACATTACCTTCCCCTCCAAATTCTAGGAATTGGCTGAGCCGTCAATCCGAGATGCATTCAGACTCTGTGTTGAGCAAGGAGCTAATCGGGTCATTGTCAGTCCATTCTTTCTCTTTCCAGGTCGGCACTGGCACAAGGTTTGCTCAATTCATGATTATGCTAGCAGTTTGCTTGATAGTGGATGTTGCTACAGTCAATTAGCAACGTATGATCTTTAATTATAGGGCTAGCTGTAGATACATCCCTTGTGTTATGAGGCTGTAGCCACTTAAACCCCCTGAACTACTTTGTTAGCAGTTACGCCCTCTGAGTTCCAAACAACACTCTTTTACAAGATAGGTTGAGAATAACATGACGATAGTTACCTTTGCCCTCAGTTTAATTGGAAAAATGACTAAATTGCCCATCTTTTGAGTTTCATAGTGTGTCAGTGCTAGTAAAAAGTTCAGGGGCATAAATGTCTACCCACCTCGTAGTAAAGGTGTATTTGCAATTAAGCCTTAATTACATTCCCAAACCATTAAAGAAAGCATCTATTATAGTTCATTGCATTTTTCACAGGATATCCCTTCATTGGTAGCTGAGGCGGCTAGGGACCATTCGGGTATATCTTATATCATCACAGCACCACTTGGTCTTCATGAGCTTATGGTGGTAAGATCTCAAATTTCCTGATTTAGATACTTATGACCATAATCGTTCGCACATGCTCATTGCATTGATGCCTACATCTACAAAGAAAAGTATTTTGACAGTAGAAGGAGAGGGCTCTCTATAGAAAATTAATGCAATCTATTTACAGTATGACTGCAGTAAGAATATTATATTAGTGCAATTACCAACTCGAGAATATATTGGGGCACTTTCCGCAATCTCCTTACTCCCTAATTGATTTTTTTATATAGGGCCATGTGTAGGATTTTCCATCACAAGTAGATCGGAATGAGAATAGTGAAACTACAAAGTTTCATGGATGTATTTCATAAGGGAAATAAATATCTGAAACTGAAGATGTGTGTTTTGTGCAGGATGTGATGAATGATAGAATTAAGCAATGCCTAAGCCATGTAGCTGGTGATGCAGATGAGTGTACTGTATGCGCGGGAACAGGGAGATGCCGTGTATATGAACTTTCATGAGGAGATATATACGAGTCAATTCAGCTATCATCATCGGAAGTGTAGATCGTCAGAACAATAAACACAAGTCAGTATTATGAGCTAAGACCCTCTTTTCCTTGCGAAAGTAAGAAGGAAACATGTTGACAAATAAAGGCGAATACTTGTATTATAGCACTGTCGTCCATGCTATGTATTGTAATCTAGATTTTTAAAATACACATCAATTTTCACTAACAAAGGAGCCCCCGTATATAGGCTTATTTTTGGTGAAGGATATTTGGATTAAGGATATACTTTCGTTAAGGGTATATTGATATTTTAACAGTGATGTTAGGGGGTATGTTGGGAAAAGTTAAATTTTACGGGGGTTATTTGGGACATCCCAAAGTTCAGGGGTTTAGTTAAATAAAGTTGGAGAAAGGTTTCATGGGAAATGCTCCAAATGTCTTCTGGGGTTTTTCATGAAAGTTTCCCCAAAAAATAAAGCAATAAAATTATTTTGTAGAAATAAACCTTTTTTTTTCATGAAGTAGAACTACAACCTAAAGAAGGACAAAAGCATTTCATAACGAGCATATTTTCATTAATTTTGTTCGGTGGAATTTCTTTCCCCTTTTTATTTTTTTATTTTTATTTTTTAGGTGGAAGCATTTTCATTATTGTATCAAGGTAAGTGTGGGCTCAAGTCTTTGTGGGCCTCAGATTTCTGATATGGTGGGCTTGGCTGAGAAGAAATTCACCCTTTTTGTGTTTCGGAGATAAGGATAGGATAGCGACAGAGACAAGGACCCTTGACGTCTCAAGACAACCGTGAACTGGCCGGCCCATCCTAAAGCATCTCATTATTAAAGGTGAAAAAGAAATTGCTACGAAGACAGTATTTTCTAGACGAGCTTCGCTACATGGATCCAAAATATGAGACCAATAGGGAGGACATGTGAGGTGTCCCCCTCCTATTATATAATGAGCTGATCATCATTAATGATGGCCAGCTCATTATGCAATAAGAGGGGGACACCTCACGTGTCCCTCCTGTTGGTCCCATATTTTGGATCCTTGGAGAATTTTTCTTTCTAGACTAACACCACTCTAAAAATATCAAGGAATATTCGATCACTTAAACTGGAGATCCAAATATCTTGAACTCTTTTATCACTTTCTGAAGGCATGTCAAATTTCATGCTGTTTATTATTTGATGATTTTAGATTTTTTATTTTAAGTGCTTTAAGAATGTAAAAAAGAAAAGTCTGGGATATTCGTCATCGACCATCACAAAGCGCGCGCGAGCAGCACAATGCAAACGTCCCTGACATTTATACAATTTTATACTCACAAGAGGGTATTTCATTTGACAGCCAAGAATCGTCACGACGCGAAATTCGCATCAGCGGCCGGCTCCACCTAAGGGGTGCAAACGGTTCGGGTGATACGATGCCTGTTATATTTACGAATACGAATTCAGAGATGAATACATCAAAGTAAGAAAAATTCATATTTATATTAACAAAAAAGTAAATGCAAATATGTATATACATGCAGATGTATATGTGAATATACATATAGATGCAAAACATATATGAGAAAACAAGATAATATTAAAAAAAATTATTAATATGTTATGCTATATTTTACCGCCAACGTATGTTATGATATTATAGATATCCGAATATTTCGCTGTACATGCATGTAGGGGTGTGCAACGGTCGGTTCGGTTCGATTTTTACCAAAATTTGAACAACCGAACCGAACCGTCTATAATTCAAAACCGAACCGAACCGTTGCAAGTCGGTTTGGTACGGTTCGGTTCGGTTTGTTCGGTTCTAACTTCATCAAACTTCTTATCAAACAACAAACTGTGTTAAAGAAAAAAAGATATCAACAAAGTAGGAGATTATGAAGCATTAAACACTAATATAATGATATTGTTTTTAACCCATAATGATTCAGAAAATGAGTTTAGGGTTTAAGTCTTTGACTCTTTGGGGACGGGTCGGATAGGTTTGAGATCAGAATGGGTAGTATTGCACTATATTCGGTCGGTTCGGGTTGAAAAATTTTCAAACCGACCCGAACCGCCCTACTCATAAAACCGATTTTTTCGGGTCGGTTCGGTTGGTTTTTTCGTTTTGGACCGAACCATGCTCAGCTCTACATGCATGTTCATAACCATATTAGATATGGATATCTAGGAACCACGCGGATATATGTATATTGTTTCGCATCTCTGGCCCCACCGCATTGAATGGGTCCCACTTCAAAGGTTTTACACATTCATCGCCCATTCCTTGTGCGCTGTTTGTATTTTCTCAGCAGATCCAAAACTCTATTCTCGACTTTTTATGAATCTTGCAGCATAAGCAGGGGTATAATGGTAACTGAGCATTATCAGTTTCTCTTGCTCCTTTATATGTCCAGGCCCATCTCGAGCCTGCGTTACTAACCAAAAAAAAAAAAGGACGGATCTTGGCGAAGCTTACTCTCTCTTATTCCCCCGATCTAATTCCGATCATGGGCAGAAAATTCTTCGTCGGCAACGTATGTTATGATATCCGAATATTTCGCTGTACATGCATGTAGGGGTGTGCAACGGTCGGTTCGGTTCGGTTTTTACCAAAATTTGAACAACCGAACCGAACCGTCTATAATTCAAAACCGAACCGAACCGTTGCAAGTCGGTTTGGTACGGTTCGGTTCGGTTTGTTCGGTTCTAACTTCATCAAACTTCTTATCAAACAACAAACTGTGTTAAAGAAAAAAAGATATCAACAAAGTAGGAGATTATGAAGCATTAAACACTAATATAATGATATTGTTTTTAACCCATAATGATTCAGAAAATGAGTTTAGGGTTTAAGTCTTTGACTCTTTGGGGACGGGTCGGATAGGTTTGAGATCAGAATGGGTAGTATTGCACTATATTCGGTCGGTTCGGGTTGAAAAATTTTCAAACCGACCCGAACCGCCCTACTCATAAAACCGATTTTTTCGGGTCGGTTCGGTCGGTTTTTTCGGTTTGGACCGAACCATGCTCAGCTCTACATGCATGTTCATAACCATATTAGATATGGATATCTAGGAACCACGCGGATATATGTATATTGTTTCGCATCTCTGGCCCCACCGCATTGAATGGGTCCCACTTCAAAGGTTTTACACATTCATCGCCCATTCCTTGTGCGCTGTTTGTATTTTCTCAGCAGATCCAAAACTCTATTCTCGACTTTTTATGAATCTTGCAGCATAAGCAGGGGTATAATGGTAACTGAGCATTATCAGTTTCTCTTGCTCCTTTATATGTCCAGGCCCATCTCGAGCCTGCGTTACTAACCAAAAAAAAAAAAGGACGGATCTTGGCGAAGCTTACTCTCTCTTATTCCCCCGATCTAATTCCGATCATGGGCAGAAAATTCTTCGTCGGCAACGTATGTTATGATATCCGAATATTTCGCTGTACATGCATGTAGGGGTGTGCAACGGTCGGTTCGGTTCGGTTTTTACCAAAATTTGAACAACCGAACCGAACCGTCTATAATTCAAAACCGAACCGAACCGTTGCAAGTCGGTTTGGTACGGTTCGGTTCGGTTTGTTCGGTTCTAACTTCATCAAACTTCTTATCAAACAACAAACTGTGTTAAAGAAAAAAAGATATCAACAAAGTAGGAGATTATGAAGCATTAAACACTAATATAATGATATTGTTTTCAACCCATAATGATTCAGAAAATGAGTTTAGGGTTTAAGTCTTTGACTCTTTGGGGACGGGTCGGATAGGTTTGTGATCAGAATGAGTAGTATTGCACTATATTCGGTCGGTTCGGGTTGAAAAATTTTCAAACCGACCCGAACCGCCCTACTCATAAAACCGATTTTTTCGGGTCGGTTCGGTCGGTTTTTTCGGTTTGGACCGAACCATGCTCAGCTCTACATGCATGTTCATAACCATATTAGATATGGATATCTAGGAACCACGCGGATATATGTATATTGTTTCGCATCTCTGGCCCCACCGCATTGAATGGGTCCCACTTCAAAGGTTTTACACATTCATCGCCCATTCCTTGTGCGCTGTTTGTATTTTCTCAGCAGATCCAAAACTCTATTCTCGACTTTTTATGAATCTTGCAGCATAAGCAGGGGTATAATGGTAACTGAGCATTATCAGTTTCTCTTGCTCCTTTATATGTCCAGGCCCATCTCGAGCCTGCGTTACTAACCAAAAAAAAAAAAAAGGACGGATCTTGGCGAAGCTTACTCTCTCTTATTCCCCCGATCTAATTCCGATCATGGGCAGAAAATTCTTCGTCGGCAACGTATGTTATGATATCCGAATATTTCGCTGTACATGCATGTAGGGGTGTGCAACGGTCGGTTCGGTTCGGTTTTTACCAAAATTTGAACAACCGAACCGAACCGTCTATAATTCAAAACCGAACCGAACCGTTGCAAGTCGGTTTGGTACGGTTCGGTTCGGTTTGTTCGGTTCTAACTTCATCAAACTTCTTATCAAACAACAAACTGTGTTAAAGAAAAAAAGATATCAACAAAGTAGGAGATTATGAAGCATTAAACACTAATATAATGATATTGTTTTCAACCCATAATGATTCAGAAAATGAGTTTAGGGTTTAAGTCTTTGACTCTTTGGGGACGGGTCGGATAGGTTTGTGATCAGAATGAGTAGTATTGCACTATATTCGGTCGGTTCGGGTTGAAAAATTTTCAAACCGACCCGAACCGCCCTACTCATAAAACCGATTTTTTCGGGTCGGTTCGGTCGGTTTTTTCGGTTTGGACCGAACCATGCTCAGCTCTACATGCATGTTCATAACCATATTAGATATGGATATCTAGGAACCACGCGGATATATGTATATTGTTTCGCATCTCTGGCCCCACCGCATTGAATGGGTCCCACTTCAAAGGTTTTACACATTCATCGCCCATTCCTTGTGCGCTGTTTGTATTTTCTCAGCAGATCCAAAACTCTATTCTCGACTTTTTATGAATCTTGCAGCATAAGCAGGGGTATAATGGTAACTGAGCATTATCAGTTTCTCTTGCTCCTTTATATGTCCAGGCCCATCTCGAGCCTGCGTTACTAACCAAAAAAAAAAAAAAAAGGACGGATCTTGGCGAAGCTTACTCTCTCTTATTCCCCCGATCTAATTCCGATCATGGGCAGAAAATTCTTCGTCGGCGGCAACTGGAAATGCGTAATCCCTCTCTTCAACCTCTAATTACCCGAAACTAGTTTCTAGATCCGATCATTTTCTGATGTATTTCGTTATTCATCGAATTCGATTCCGAACGATCCTAAGCTCAAATAGACGTAATCGATGTTAAAGCGATCACTCTCTAAATCTAATCATTTCTATGAATTCTGTCATGAAATTCGATTTCTTATGATTTTAGGTTCAAATCAATTTAATCGAGCTTAAAGTGATCAATCTCTAGTTTCTTGATATCTGAACCATAAGCATGAGTCATTTAACAGATTGGCCCTCTCTTCATTTTTATTAGCCGATGTTAGTTTCTAGATCTGATCATTTTTATTAATTTTCTTACCAAAATTGCTTCCTTATGATCATAGAATGGAACAGCTGAAGAGGTGAAGAAAATTGTGAAGACGCTGAACGATGCCAAAGTTCCATCGCAGGATGTTGTTGGTAGTATTATTTGTCATTAAAGTCTCAAATATTGGCGCGTAATTGAAAGTTATAATTTTTTTCCCCATGCATTCAAACTATTTCCATGTTGATGTTTTTGAGCTGCTCATTTTGACTGTGATATCATTTCAAATGTAGATTTATGATTTAGGATAATTTTTTGAATGATGGTTCAATTGGGATGGGTTGTTCAGGTAAAAAGGACACCACTAAATGCACCAGCTTGGTGAAATGATAACGTTATAGGTAATTGGGTGAAGAGAACTTTATATAGATCTAAAAGAACTTGGTTGGAAGTAATTAAGAATGATATAACGGTAGTTAACTTAAGCGGAGAAGATCCATAATGAAACTTAATAGAAGAACAAGATTTAGGTAGCTGACCCCAAAAATTGGCAGAATGGCTTTGCTGTTGTGGTATTAAAATGATGGTGCAATTTTCAGTTTTTTCTTTAATTAAAAGTCAATTATCTTCTCCTGCAGAGTTTAACAGTCACCGAATTTATGGAGACTTTAGATCTTGCTTTTATATATCTGCGATCATCCAGCTGGATTATACTCCAGGTTCAATTAGATATTAAGATCAGATCGAATACAGGGCGTTTTGTTTATAATCAGTTTGCCGTTGACCTATGTTTATAGACAGTGGAATACTTGGCACAGTTAGTTGAGGAGCTTAGCATCTTATATCTTGCACAGCATTTTGAATTTCTGGCATCCACCATTTATATGCAACTGTATATTAGCATGAGTTACGTGTGGATAAAGATACATTACTAATTCTGATTGTTGCCTATAACACATCAAAATTTTTAATTAATACCACTTAATCATTTCCCTTGCATATTCATTTCCCTTGCAGAGGTTGTTGTGAGCCCTCCATTTGTCTTTCTTCCGTTGGTGAAGGATTCCCTGCGCTCTGATTTTTATGTCGCTGCACAAAATTGCTGGGTGAAGAAAGGTGGTGCTTACACCGGTGAGGTCAGGTAAGAGCTTATTCAACCAAATAAAAAATAAAAATAAAAAATAAAACAAAAAAGAAAAAGAAAAAGAAAAATAAAAAAAATAAAAAACATTCAATATGGTGGTACATGTTTCATTCTACATGCTAGTTATGTATCATGCTTTCCTATTTTCTAAAAGAATTTTTTTTTAAGCGTGTACTTTCATAACATTGTTATTTAAGGTAGTTATGTATCATGCTTTCCTATTTTCTAAAACATGTTTTTAATTGGGCCGGATCTCTACTTTTCTCACTTCATCCCAAAAATAATCTTACCACGATTGAGTATATATCTAATCATATTCAGTGTTGTGGTTATAATATCTGACTATGTCCCTTTTTGTCAATCCTTATCACTGCGGTATTCATGGAATCTTGGGTAGTAGAACAATACTAACAACATTACTGCTATTTGGAAAAAAGTAAGTGTTGAATTCAATGACCCTTTTTTTTCCTCCAATCAGAGGCCTTGACTTTTTTTTCCTTCTCAATTTGGTTCAATATCCCTTTTTGTTATCAGTTCAAACATCTTACAAATTTAAAACTGAAATACTTTCACTCTTTGTTGTTGCTTGAGCATGTTATCATGAATTTTTTTCCATTGTTTTGATCATTTATGTGATTTTGGTACTTTTCTTGAGCCGTTCTGCTAATCTGGCCTTAATGTTTTCATTTGAGAGTAGTTTCATTTGTTAATAGGATTCCAAAAGGCTAACTTTTTTTCCCGAGTCTGATACATTTTTCCATATAGCGCCGAAATGCTTGTCAATTTGGGAGTTCCTTGGGTTATTCTTGGTCATTCTGAAAGAAGAGCTCTGTTGGCTGAATCAAATGAGGTAATTTCGCAACCTGTATATTTCATATGGAGAGTAAAAAGTAGAAACTGTACAATATACCTGTAGCCTGGAAGACTTGTAAAGCCCTCTTGATGTTAGAATCTAAGTAGTATGATTCCCTATACGACTTAGCTATATGACTTACTTAAGTGTGTTGAAGGTTCGCTATGAACTCTTTTTGACTTTGAACATCAATATTCAAATCCATATATACTGAAAGAAAGAAATAGTCGTGAAGATACTATAACTTCTTTGTTTAAACTCCTATTAGCGCAAACCAGATGCTATTTATGTGCAATAAGTCACATGCTGTTTTGTTATAGACCATACGTTGTTATGTAACAAACTCCTTGTAAATTATTTGGTGCACCCCACTCTAACGTGAGAGTATTGCTTTTCACCCTATGACCAGTAGTAGAGGAATAGCTCAATTGCCTAGCCTTAGCGGAAGCAAGCTCTGTATATTTAATGCTAGTGTTCTATTTTTAATTCATAAAAGAACAGTTAATTATTTATCTGGATTGAACATGTTACCTGTTAATCAGACTCTTTTAACTCTTAGAAAATTTGTGCATAGCTATTGCTTGATTTTTATTTAATACTTCTTTTTAGCAATTGTAATATCTATATCTACTTTGCTTGTTACTTCTACCTTTGTCTTTGAGTTCTACCTAGGTGCATATATTTTTCACCTTTTCCCAATACTTTGTTACTACTAACTACAAAGCGCTACCATTATAGTTGCGCAAAGTAGCACTACTTAGCTGACATTACTACCAGAAACGCAAGTTTTGACAGTAATTGCCTCATTCTTCACCAATTTCCCACATTTTCGAATTTTTATGTGGGTAATAGGTCAGACCAAGCACTTGCTGTAGAAACTATAAACTATTAATTGTCATAAAAGTTTAGCTATTTATCTAATGAAAAAGGGCTGATTATCTTTTCACAGTTGTCTTATATTCATTGTCTTTTGTTTCCCTTCTGTGATTTCTACTGCAGTTTGTTGGTGATAAAGTTGCATATGCACTCTCTCAAGGTCTGAAGGTAATTGCATGTGTTGGTGAGACTCTGGAACAGCGAGAAGCAGGATCAACTATGGATGTTGTTGCTGCACAAACTAAAGCCATTGCTGGTAATATTGTTTTCTGTCATTTACGGCCTCTCCTTGCTGCTATTCCATTTTTGGTTCTTATTTCAGTCACCATGTAACTTCTGCTAACCAGTTTAGACCTGCGTGCAGTTCAAGCTCTTCAGCATAAGCTTTTTCACTACATAAATAAACAACACAAATAAACAATGATCATCACAGAAGCAGATATTTTTAAATCTGCAGTTGAAATCCATTTTAAATTTAGATTTCTAACTGCTGATATTAGCCAGTTCGATGAGGTGTCTATTGAAGTTACAAATGAAGCAAAAATGAAAGTAAAATAGACGAGACTTTTAAAATCAAGATATTAAATATAAAGTCCATTGTTATATACAGATTATTTCAAAATTTTGATGTTTTTACTCAGCTTTTCTGATTTTATAACCTTAATTTGTTTGTTCTGTTGAAGTATCCCCCCTGTACGGAAGTAAAATCCTGTCACAGTCGTATATGTATTCATCTATATCACAGACTTGTTAACTATACTTCTTTCCTGACTAAAGTGTTGTTCACTAAATTCTTTCACAGCTCGGATATCAGACTGGAAGAATGTTGTAGTTGCTTATGAGCCAGTTTGGGCTATTGGAACTGGCAAGGTCGCAACCCCGGCTCAGGCCCAGGAAGTAAGTCCTACAGGAAATTGTACTTGCTTGCTTATTGTTCTCTTTAAACTTATTAATATTTTGCTGAATATACAAAGGTATTGTGCCAACAAGAGCCGACAATTCTGCAAGATTATGCTTGACAAGTTGTATGCTCACACCTTGTTCATAGTATCAGGCTTAGCCATTGTTACATCTAACTCCTGCTATACGGTCAAGTTCCTTACTCAGATGAGCATGCTATCCGTTAAATGCATGCTTGTAATGGCTTCGAATGCAAGATTTCATTTTATTAAAATGTATTATTTCAAAATGAAAATAATAGCTTTCTATAATGTCATTTCATCTATCTATAGGTAAAATACCTTTTCTCAGGCTATAGCTATAATGCATGTCATCTTTCTTTACCTACTTACATTTTCAGCCGATGTAAAATGAGCACAGTGGTATTAATAACAATAATGCACATCCCATCATTGCTCAATGACATTCTTTTTGAGTATGTTCAAGGGCAATCCTTTTGAGTTACTTTAAGTTAACTAATCCCTTTGTTGAACTCCATTCAGAATTTATGTTTTGAAAAGCTTCATATCCCACTCTTCCCCTTCTCTCCCATTCTCCTCCTGACCCACCCTTAAAACAGTTTCTACATTCTACCGGAGTGTAGACCTGTACATGTTTTCTTCTTCCCTAAATATCACAATATGTTATTATTGTAAAAATGATAATGATAAATCTTGTCAAATAAGCTTCATAAAGCTATTATCTTATGTTCATGGATATATGTATGTATGTGTTTTCTTTGAATTTTCTTTGCCATTTATGGATCAATTAATTTCGATTATATTAACCCAGTTATAGCAAGTTTGGCTTTATCTTTCTCATACAGAAAAATCGGAATTAATTTTCATTAATAACCTTAGTATATTTCACTCCTGGTTTATTTGTTCATACTAGGTATCTAAATGATGCATCGAATGATTGTCCATATTGTACATTACTTTTGTAAAGGTGTTTTATGTCCAGTTAGTTGCTAATCTTTTTGTTGCTATGAATTCTTTATTTACCTCTAACTTATTGAAACTTTTGTCAGGTTCATGATGGTCTGAGGAAATGGCTTCACAAGAATGTGAGTGCTGAAGTTGCAGAATCTTGTAGGATCATATATGGAGGTATGTAGATCCCTATACACAGGTTTTACTCACATCAATACAAATGTCTTTCTAATCCCTTACATAGTTATTTGAGGATATTCGTTCACTAAGTGTGTGTTATGCCTCCGAAGCATTTGCGCGATATTGACGCATTGCAATGCAGGTTCTGTAAATGGTGCAAACTGCAAGGAACTAGCAGGCCAGGCTGATGTTGATGGATTTCTTGTTGGTGGGGCTTCTTTGAAGGTATTTATTGTTAATTTTTAAAATTATTAACTTATAATCTTCTCTTGAACGTCGATACCAAACGTCTAGCAAGCTGTTATATCTTAATTACTTTTGGGTCAGTTATAAATAGTCTCACCTCTAGTTTTCCTGTTACCACTGAAGAGCAAAAAAGAAACGATTGAACTACATTTCTTCTGCTTTAATTTTTAGAGACCTTTACAATTTCTTTTTGCCTCACTCTATTGTGTTTGTTTTGCTTCAGCCTGAATTTGTGGACATCATCAATGCTGCCACAGTGAAGTCTGCTTAAGCGATGGCCTGTTTAGAAAGTTTTTGTAAAATCGTCGTGTGGTCTTTAATTCTGCAGTTTTTCATTTTGAAGTTACATACTGTAGTATTTCGCCTGAAACTACGAGTTAAAGCGTACAGAAACAGGCTGCAAGTATCAATAAGGGTGTTTTTCTGTAAACATGCTATTCCCGTGTGAAATTCTTCTATCGAAGGTTTTTCTGTTACTTTTGGTTTCTGCAGAATTAGGATGAATACCTTAGGTTTGAAATCATTAGTTTAATTCTGGTTAAGAACTTCGTCCGAAGAACTTAGTTTATGTCGATATCATGTCGTTTCCTGCTAGCCTGTGACTTGTATACATAATCTTCAGGTTCACAAGCGACCATGATTCTTGATATGTGGGCAGATGACTGTTATTAGCAAGTATTTATAAGCTCTTGCCCACTTTGTGGAGATCATCCTCAAACATGGCAAAAATCTAGCTCACTGAAATTGTGTTAGTAGGAAGTTTACGTGTTCTGCTGATTGAATTGGATGTTTGCTGATTGATGTATACAAGGATTCTCCAGTAAGATCTCAGAACGCTACCACTCGCGCTTATATACCCCCAAAGCTTTCTGCATTTTTAACTTCTGCGTATGTATGTGTGTGTGCATGAGATATTACGCACTAAAATCTTTAATATTCTGAAACTAGCATCTCGTATCATTGTAACTGCTATTAGATCCCTCAATTTCTCTGAGTTGTTTCGAAGTAGTACCTCAATTTCTCTGAGTTGTTTAGTTTAAGTTGGCATGGGATGACCGTTGTACGTTTTTTTAACCGTGTTCGTTTCAATGAAATCAGTTTTCACCATTTTTACATCTTTTTCCGAATCCTCAATTGCTCCCCTGATCTATTTGGTGGCGTAAAATAATAAATAATCATCACTATGCCTGTAACGCCCCGCCCGGGAATCCCGGAGTCGGTACGCTATTAGATCTGATGGACTGACCTCACAAACCACCACATGTCTTTTTCAGCATGTTTTGTCCTCACTCACGCGCTCCCTGGAAAACTTCCCAGGGGGTCACCCATCCTAGAATTTCTCCAGGCCAAGCATGCTTAACTTTGGAGTTTCTAAGAGTCGGGCTCCCGAAAAGAAGATGCATCTTGGTGGTATGAGTATTCCAATCAAATCTATCTACTAATCACATCACCCTCTCAAGGGTTAGGGTATTACAAACTCCCCCACTTAAACTCACAACGTCCTCGTTGTGCCAAATCATATCATCCAAGACCGTACCATCCGTGTGAGATTCTAGAGATGGTTCCTATGGCCTCAAGAGGTGGCTCCCGCCCTCTCGACGTAGCACTTTGCGCCGCATAGCACTTAGCTCTCCGACGTAGCACTTTGCGCCGCATAGCACTTAGCTCTCACAATTCCGGTTGGCTTAGCTCTGATACCATTTGTAACGCCCCGCCCCGGAATCCCGGAATCGGTACACTACTAAATCTGATGGACTGGCCTCACAAACCACCACATGTCTTTTCAGCACGTTTTGTCCTCACTCACGCACTCCCTGGAAAACTTCGCAGGGGGTCACCAATCCTAGAATTTCTCCAGACCAAGCACGCTTAACTTTGGAGTTTCTAAGAGTTGGGTTCCCGAAAAGAAGATGCATCTTGGTGGTATGAGTATTCCAATCAAATCTATCAATACTAATCACATCACCCTCTCAAGGGTTAGGGTATTACAATGCCACTAGGGTTAGCACGATGGGCGGGCGGAGATTTCAATGAAGCGACAAATTTGAAACAACTTATAATATTTGAGAGCCCTATAGTAATTTCAATGATTTCAAGATTTAATTTTAACATATTCAAGTTTAAAAGGAATAATGTCCAAAGACCCTTCTTAAGTTTGATACCCCTAAAGTCAAAGTGCCCCTAATTTCACCCCCCCAAAAAAACTTTGACATCCGAAAATGACTTAATACGGGCTATATAAACTTAAATTATTTTGAACTTTAGGCCTTTTTTTGGGCAAAACCAATTCCAAAAGCACCAAAGTTAAAGGTGGAGTAAGTAAACTTTGGCCCTTGGGCATTTATAACCCTTCGAAAAAATAGAATGTAAAACTACAACAAATCTAATCCGGAATTGCTTAAAAAAAATTAGCCACTAATCTTTCCTAATACGTATTTCAATTTTGAAAGCATCAAACACTTAAGTTATGTAAAAACCTTGAGTAATGTTTTCTAATAAATACTTCTTTGAAGAACTTACCTAACTTCAAACAAATCCAGCATTCTCAAACTTATCCTATGCCGTAACAATATCCAGAAGCATTTCGCGTGGTTTTAAATAATATCCCAATCAAAACAAACTAACGGCATCTCAAGCATTCTATTCGGAATCTATTAGTTTTAGTAGTTACAAACTAAAAGCCTAAAAGGATCCATTAACCTAATCAGTCTCACGTTTTCAAATTTTTTGTGTTTTCTCTAATGGGAAACTGCTTAAGATCTCACGCTGAGACGGAGCTCGCGGCTGAAGAGAAGAACCCGTGGCCTATCATCGATGTATATGGTGAGCGTTTAATGATTCGTGAACCACATTTGTATTAGTTTTCTGTTGTTGACTGGTGTGTTACAGATGCGATACACATTCAAACCGTTACCCATGATACATGCATGTATGATCTGAAATGTAGAAAACAGAATGTATGTCACGTCAAAAAATTTGCCCTTCGAGACCTTAGAGGAGGGAGACACCAATCCCCGTTGACTCTAAAATCTAAGTTAACAGTGTCTGATGGGTCCCTTAAAAATTTTATATTTGAAAATCACTATAAGTAACACACCAGTCTCTATTCACTCTGAAATTTTATATTTGAAAATATTAAGATGTTGTTTGGATGCAGATACGAAAGGACAACCTTCACCAGCAGAGAATGAAGCCAAGGACAGGGAAGAGATCATCCCACGACCATGTTTGAAAAGCTACAGCTTTAACGAGCTTAAAATCGCCACCGGGGGTTTTCGCAAAGACCACGAATTAGGAGAAGGTGGATTTGGCCCGGTCTATATGGGCTGGGTCCATGAACACTCACTGGAACCCGTTAGACCCGGATCCGGTATGGCTGTCGCAATTAAGATGCTTAGACAAGAAGGCTTTCAGGGTTATAAACAATGGGAGGTTAGCATCGTCTAATTAATCATCTTACTTATTATTTGTTGGGAATTTAACGCCTAAATCCCTAATGCAACAGAAACGCAGAATAGAAAAAGTACACCAAGATTTACGAGGTTCGGCAACTGCCTACGTCCTCGGGAGCCACACAGTCAATTTCTTATTAATCAAACAAGAAATTACAAATCAAGAGCAGATCCCAAACTGAGATCTCTCAAATGAACATTGTAGCTACAGTGTTAATAATTAAAGAGAATAATCCCTTTCAAATATCTCTCTCTCTCTCTCTCTAAATCCTTTCTTAATCTCCCCTCAAGATTCTGTTGAGAGCTGGTGATGAAAACCAAAATCCCTGCTACGATTTCAAGGTTGGAGAAGAGGAACGCTGCTGCGTTATTGTGTCGCCGCCAGAGAAAGATTAGGGGAGAAGAAAAACACAAACCCTAGATCATCGGGGTTTGCTTTTATAGGCGAACATGACAGACTGACGACATCCTGTCGCCAGCCACGCGAGCGTCCAAGCTTGACGCGAGGGTCGGAGCGCTTGGACGCGAACGTCGGAGCTTGGACGCGAGGGTCGGTGTCCCAAACGCGAGGGTCGGTGTCCCAAACGCGAGGGTCAGATCCAAAAACGCGAGGGTCGCGTTGCCCACACGCCGAGGTCGGGAATCGCCAAAATTCGAGCTCGCCTGCTCGAGCTTCACTTGGAGCTTTCGCCGTCGACTTCACCTGAGTCGACACCCACGCTCGCCTGTGTGGTTCTCAAGCTCGTCGGAGCTCCTCGTCGGAATTGAGGTTTGATCTACACTCCATTCTAACAATCTCCCACTTGGAGATTAAACCTCCATCAACAGGCTATATATCAAGCTCCTCTCCTGTGTGGCTCCGCCCTCTTCATCTATGCATGAAGGCCAACTGAAGTTGCGCACAACTTCAGTTTCTGAACGGTCACCGTCTTTGTTAACATGTCTGCTGGATTCTTACTTCCTGGAATCTTTTCCAGATTCAACACGTCATCTTCCAACAGGGATCTGATGAAGTGATACCGAAGCCCAATATGCTTCGTTCTAGAATGAAATGTTGAATTCTTCGCCAAGTGTATCGCACTCTGGCTATCACTGTGCAAAACATTCTTCTCCTGTTTGAATCCCAACTCTGTCAATAAGCCCTGAAGCCATATCATCTCTTTACTGGCTTCAGTCACTGCAACATACTCAACTTCTGTAGTGGATAGGGTAACGATCTTCTGTACCTGTGACATCCAACTAACAGCTATAGTTCCAACGGTGAATACATAGCCGGTGGTGCTTCTTCGGTGATCAACTTCACCGCCGAAGTCTGCATCTACGTACCCTTGCACTTCCACCTCTCCCTTACCAAAGTGCAAACACTTCTGTGTGGTGCCTCGTAGATATCTCAGAATCCACTTGACCGCTTCCCAATGAGCTTTTCCTGGAGATTCGACATAAACCGACTGACCACTCCCACTGCATGACCAATATCTGGTCTCGTACAGACCATTGCGTACATCAAACTTCCGATAGCTGAGGAGTAAGGAACCTGAGCCATACCCTCTTTCTCTTATTCTGACTGAGGAGACTGATCCTTCGATAGACGAAAATGGCTGGCCAAGGGTGTGCTCACAGGCTTGGCGTCGCCCATGTTGAATCTCTGCAAAACACGGTTGATGTACTCCATCTGAGATAACTGCAAGAGACCTCTCTTCTTATCTCTCGTGATTTGCATTCCAAGGATCTTTTTCGCTGGACCCAAGTCCTTCATGTCAAACTCCTTTGACAGCTGCTGCTTCAAACTCTTGATATCCTTCATATCTACTCCTACAACTAACATATCATCAACATACAGGAGTAGGATGATATAACTGGACTGCTATCTTTTGAAGTAGCAACAGTGGTTGGCGTTGTACTTCTGGAAACCTTCCTTATGCATAAAGCCGTCAAACTTTCTGTACCACTGTCTTGGGGCTTGTTTCAGGCCATACAAGCTCTTCTTGAGTCTGCACACCAGGTTCTTCTTCTTTTCTTCTGAGAAACCTTCTGGCTGGTGCATGTATATCTCCTCTTCTAGATCTCCGTGAAGAAACGCCGTCTTCACGTCTAACTGCTCGAGATGAAGATCTTCAATTGCTACAATACTCATCACGGTCCTGATAGTATTTAGCTTCACCACGGGAGCGAAAATATCGGTGTAGTCAATTCCTTCCTTCTGCTGGAAACCTTTGACAACCAGTCGGGCTTTATATCTTCGATCTGGAACCATCCTGCTCCTCTTTCACCCGATACACCCATTTGTTGTGGAGTGCCTTCTTACCCGTAGGCAACTCAGCTAGTTCCCACGTCTGGTTTGATATGAGAGACTTCATCTCATCTTTCATGGCAAGCTCCCACTTGGTCACATCTCCACGCTGACAAGCTTCATCATAGCTTTCAGGCTCCCCACCATCTGTCAACAACAGATAGTTCATGTATCTCCTTAGCTTTCAGGCTCCCCACCATCTGTCAACAACAGATAGTTCATGTATCTCCTGTTGGGTACAGGAGGATGAGAAAATCTTCTTAATATCGGAGCTGGTGCATCGGGCTCTTGCGCACCATCTTGTCTAACAGGCTCTTCTGGCTGAGGACCCTCTGCATTGGGTTCTTCCGAGAGGTTACTCGGGACATCATCTGTATCTAAAAATATTGACTCGCTCTCTGAGTCATCTGTCTTGTGCATGTCCTTGTACATCACCTTCTCGTTGAATATCACATCTCTGGTATTCTGTGCTCCAATGGAACCGATGGACCTCGGTTGATCAAGTAAGCTGCTGTGTTGACCGCTTCTGCCCAGAATTGATTCGGTAGGTCTGACTGTACCCGAATGCTTCTGTCTCTCTCCGTCAATGTTCGGTTCATCCGCTCAGCTACATCATTTTGCTGAGGCGTGCCGGGCACGGTTCTCTCCATTCTGATCCCGTGCTCATAGCAGAACTTCTTAAATCCGGTGTCTTCATATTCACCGCTATTGTCGGTCCTGAGCTTCTTTATTCTCAGACCGGTCTCATTCTCGACCATAGCTTTCCATCTCCTGAAAGCCTCAAATACTTCTGACTTATGCTTCAGAAAGTAGACCCATACTTTCCGAGAGTGATCATCGATAAAAGTCACGAAGTAGTGTTTTCCACCAATGGACGCGGTGGTTGTTGGTCCCCACACATCTGAGTGAACGAGCTCTAGCTTCTCTTTCCTGGGGGTTCTGCCACTTGTCTGAAAGCTGACTCTCTTCTGCTTTTCAAGTATACATTCTTTACACATATCCATCTCCACTGACTGCAGTCCTGGGAGTTTTCCCTTTGTGTGCATGTTTTTCATCCCATTTTCACTCATATGACCGAGTCTCTGGTGCCACAACTTTGAAGTTTCATTGCCTACTGCAACTGAGATTAAACAACGTGCACCTGCTGTCATATATAGGGTACCAGTCTTCCTACCTCGGGCAATCGTCATTGCGCCCTTTGAGATCTTCCAATCATCTCCATGGAAGGTCGTGGTATATCCTTCGCCAGCCAACTGGCCTACAGATATTAAGTTCTTTCTTAGGTCGGGAATATGTCTGACATCCTTCAGCTCCCATACTGACCCGTTCAACTTAATTTTCACTACGCCTTTGCCCACAATAGCACATGGTTGATCATCACCAAGATATACATATCCAAGATTTCCGGGAACATACTTCTCGAAGAATTCTTTCTGAGAGGTAGCATGGAACGACGCTCCTGAATCTAACACCCAAGATTCCTCCTTGCTCTCCAAAGAGCATATCAATGCGTCGTCTCCTCCTGAAGTGGAAGTGACATTCACCTCTGCCTTCGCCTCCTTCTCTTTTGTGCACTCTTGCACTGATTCTTATAATGTCTGGTCTTTCCACAATTCCAACACTCGATAGCCTTCGAGCTGTTGTTTGGATTCCTTGACTTGGATCTCCTGTCCTTTGATCTACCTCTGAAGTTTGATTTTCCTCGTCCGTTTCCTCTGGTTGAATTTCTACCTCTTGACTCTGTATGCAATACTGAAGAGGTTGTAGCTTCACCCGTCTCTCTCCGTCAGATCTCCTCACTGAGAACCAGATCACGAACGTCGTCAAACTTCAACTTGTTATTTCCCGACGAGCTACTCACTGCCGTGACTGTAGCGTTCCAACTCTCTGGTAGGGAAGACAACAGTATCAACGCCCGAACTTCCTCATCAAACTCAATCTCAACTGAACTCAATTGGGTTGTAACCGTATTAAGTTCATTGAGGTGTTGTGCTACTGACGCGCCTTCCATCATTTTCAGATTGAATAACCGCCGCATCAAATGAACTTTGTTCGCGGCTGATGGCTTCTTATACATGTTTGAGAGTACTGCCATAAGACCTGTCGTGGTCTTCTCCTTCGCTACGTTGAACGTAACATTGCGAGTCAACGTCAATCTGATAACTCCGAGGGCTTGTCTATCTAGAAGGTTCCGCTCATCTGCCTTCATAGAATCCGGCTTCTTCCCTGATAGTGGTTGATACAGATTTTTCTGATACAGATAATCCTCTATCTGCATTTTCTAGAATCCGAAATCTGTTCCATCAAATTTCTCAAGTCTTATTTTTCCTTCATCTGCGGCCATGGCTCCCACTTGAATCTGACTTCCTCTAGATCGTTTCACGCTCTGATACCAGTTGTTGGGAATTTAACGCCTAAATCCCTAATACAACAGAAACGCAGAATAGAAAAAGTACACCAAGATTTACGAGGTTCGGTAACTGCCTACGTCCTCGGGAGCCACACAGTCAATTTCTTATTAATCAAACAAGAAATTACAAATCAAGAGCAGATCCCAAACTGAGATCTCTCAAATGAACACTGTAGCTACAGTGTTAATAATTAAAGAGAATAATCCCTTTCAAATATCTCTCTCTCTCTCTCTCTCTAAATCCTTTCTTAATCTCCTCTCAAGATTCTGTTGAGAGCTGAAGATGAAAACCAAAATCACTGCTGCGATTTTAGGGCAGTCCGCCGCCGCCAGAGAGAAAATCGGAAGAAGGGGGAAAAGCACAGCGGACGTCGGAGTGCGGACGCGAGGGTCGGAGCTTGGACGCGAGGGTCGGTGTCCCAAACGCGAGGGTCGGTGTCCCAAACGCGAGGGTTGATGTCCCAAACGCGAGGGTCGGATCCAAAAACGCGAGGGTCGCGTTGCCCACACGCCGAGGTCGGGAATCGCCAAAATTCGAACTCGCCTGCTCGAGCTTCACCTGGAGCTTTCGCCGTCGACTTCGCCTGAGTCGACGCCCACGCTCGCCTGTGTGGTTCTCAAGCTCGTCGGAGCTTCGCCGGAGCTCCTCGTCAGAATTGAGATTTGATCTACACTCCATTCTAACATTATTCACGATAGTTATCGTTAAATGCATGGTTTTCCATTTAATATTCTTTTTGATAAATTGAGATAGCATAACTATTTTTATTAGAGAAAAATATCACAAGCTCTCAATTCTGCAGCGGAAGCTTGTCAAAAAACACCTAATTGATATATGGATAACCGATAACATAAATTTATGATTGACATTATTCATCACATTCCAAATAACTTTAAATGCATATGATGATAAATTTAGATATGTTTAAGACCTGTAGATATGAATCGAAACTACTTGCTACATTAATTTTACAGTGTACTTAAGAGCCATCCATTTTTGTAAACACTGATCACATAATACAATGATGAGAAGTATCTAAATGTTAATGCATGACAAGAATCTTATTTTATCATTTTCTATGCATATAGTGTCACCTTCTTCAATGTTATAAACTGAAATGTGTTTGAATTTGTAGGCAGAAGTTAAGTATTTAGGCAAAGTGAATCATCCCAATCTTGTAAAGCTTATTGGATACTGTTCAGAGAATGATCAAAGGCTTCTAGTATATGAGTACATGCCTCGAGGGAGCTTAGAAGATCATCTTTATGATGGTATGTTCTTTTCTATTATATTTTAGACTAATTAATTGCACATAGGCCCTTTTTCTAACTTGAGCGAAATTTCGGCAGATATTGTTACACATGGGTGACTTTAGTGAGTCTATTTGAGGGTAGATGAGAAACAATAATTCACTTAAGAGAGTCTGTGTTCAAAAATGAAACTACGAGGGCAGTAAGTTTAGAACAACAGCCAAAAGGGGTTTATGTGCAATTGACCCTTATTTTTCCTACCCAATGTGATTTATTGATTGTAATGTTTTGTTTTTTCTTGGTGATGTAGATGATCCGAACACCCAACCGCTTTCATGGAGCCGTCGGTTGAATATTGCTCTTGGTGCTGCAAGAGGACTTGCTTATTTGCATCAGCCTGATATTAAAATTATACACCGCGATTTCAAGACATCTAACATTCTACTTGATGTGGTACGTGTTATTTGAGTAGAGATAATTTGCCCAGATTTGCCAGAAACCTTCTAATCTACCATAATTTTTTGACGTTAGATGACATTTTCAAAAGTTTTTAGTGTTGTCTCAAAATGAGCAAAATTTTTGGGGGATATAGTATATATATACCTTGCACATGATAGCCCCAACTAACTGACATTCACAATATCAGTCGACCACAAGATCCACAAATATCAAAGATAACGGATTACAAGTTGTTATCAGTATATAATACATGAGCATATTTGCAATTAACCCATTTTCTTCTTGTTTCTTTTGTTTGAATTTTTCATGTATTTACAGGATTTCAACACTAAGCTTTCCGACTTCGGATTGGTTATAGAAGGTCCAAACAATGATAAGACACACCTCTCGCTCTCTAGAGTTTTTGGGACATACGGATACGTAGATCCTATGTACATGAACACATGTATTTCCGCTAAAACTCTATATATATTCTGATTTTTAATTTGGTCAAATGAGCTATCAAGAGATAAACTAGTTGTGTAACTCATTCTGCTAGTCATTTATCTACTCATCTGTATTTTGACATCCCTATATTAGTAAATGAGGTGACAGACTGACAGTTCATGCCCAGTATCTATTAATATACAATTTTACATGTAGGTAAATTGACAGCAAAGAGTGATGTGTATGGATTCGGTGTCGTCCTTCTAGAGATATTATCGGGGCGACGTGCCCTAGATTGTAGCAAGCCAAGGGCGGAACATGAATTGGTGAAATGGGCAATGCCTTATTTTAAAAATAAGTTGCATTTTTTGAATATTGTTATGGATAAGAGGATATATGGGCAATATTCACAAAATGAAGCATTAAAGGTTGCTCAAATTGCAGGACTTTGTTTGTCATACGATCGTAAGCAGAGGCCTAATATGAGTGATGTGGTGACTGCATTAGAATTTATTCAGGGGGGTGAAGGATCAAGTTGAGATATTTTCTTTTCCCCCTCTAATTCTAAGTTTCCGTAATTAGAGTTTCCAGATTCGTATATCGAATAATACGTTGGATATTAGGATGTATTGCATTTTTGTTAGGTTTTTTCATCTTTTTGTTAGATCTTATTCATGCTTTTCCTTTATTGGAGTTCACAGCCAAAGTTTGAAAAATAGGCTACTCATTTTTTTTTCCTCTTTGGTTTTTCTAATGCGTGTTAATGGACACTTGTCAAGAAATGAAAGAGATAAAGAGAAATGAATGGTAAAATATCTTTCCAATTTGTATTAATTTGTCTCATTATCTCTCATTTCTTTCTGTCTCTCATCTCTTAATGGGTGCCCATGGGCACCCATTAGAGAAAACCCTTTTTCTTTTTGATTTCATATCAATTATTAGAATTATGTCTTTTTTGTTGCCGCCTAATCAAGCGAACCTCTAGTTAGAGCCTGTTTCATTCGAATAGAAATCCTAGAAAAGGGACTGCTAAGAACTGTCATGCCAATAATGATAAATAAAAAAAATGCAAAATAGACTGTTTTTGCTAATTATTTAGCAAAATAGACCGTTTTGCTAAATAATTAGCAAAATAGACCTCCTTTTGGCCAACCGATCAAAAAAGGTCTATTTTACAAAACAGCTCAGAAAACATACGGGACTAGTAGTCCCGTATGTTTTAATCACAGATTAGTGAAATTTTTTACTCAGAAAACATACGGGACTACTAGTCCCGTATGTTTTCTGAGTCACTAATCCGTGATTAGTTGGCTCTAAACATACGAGACTAGTAGTCCCGTATGTTTTATGAGCCTTGTTTTTCAAAATCGACCTTTTTTTTCAAAAGAGGTCTATTTTGCTAATTATTTTTCAAAGTGGTCTATTTCGCTATATATTTCATAAAAATGGTCTATTTTGCAAATTTTTCCAAACCATTTTCGTTATACTGTTTATTTTGCAACCCATTTCCTTAGAAAATTCTCGTAGAAACCCCCGCCAGTGTACCACGTTAGGGGAAAAAAAAATCCCATTTCCGAGTTTATAACTCAAAAATGGGCTGGAAATGGATTAATCGGTATTAAAAATAGATTTTTAGGTAAGTTTTTTGTTTCCTGCTTTACCAGTGATGTTTATATTGCTAATAAACAACGTAAACTGAGAAAATATGATTTTGGGAAAATTGATTTCTACTTTTATGTTTCTAAACCATACAAGAGAAATTGATGAAATGTATTTCCAACACATGTTTTCACGGCAAAACAAACAGTACAAATACTTTTCCCAGAGAAGCACTAAAATGCTTGGAAATGATATTTTAGGTACATTTTCCAGTGATTTCTTTATGGGAAATTAACCAAAAGGCACTAACTAGATCCAACCACTTCTCCTTCATTGACTAAGATCTTATAGCTTTACTCAGCACTTATCCAATCATTTCAGTCTATTTTCTATCATTTTTAGGTTTCACGTAGATGTATAGAACACCTATAATACATTAAAGTACCAAGAGGGTCTAGCTGATTTAATAAGCTGTCTATGAGTAGCACTCCAAGCCTCAAGTTCAGCTCTCTTGGGGAGCATCCATAGAAATTTAATTTTCTAGAATACCCGAGGTCTTGTGTTTCGGCTCGTGCCTCTTAGTCATGCTTGAGTGTTTCATACCCATGGTTCAAAGTGTCTTGAGGAAGTTCCCTCATCAAACCGAAAAAATAATACATTAAAAATAGAAAATGGCAAAAAAAAAAGGTAAGGAAAGTACTAAAATAGCAGAAAAAGGGGAAATTATAGTAAACTCTAAAAACTTTTGGTGTCTTGTGGTAAATCCCCAATAACTTTCAAAATCACATTATACTCCTAATAACTTTTGTAAAAACCCACAATATCTTTTGGGTACATTGCGCTAAAACCCCAAATACTTTCACAATGCCTTTTCATGTTGTCTTTTGGTTCTAATTTATGAGGGTTTTCTGCAAAATGAGGGGAAATTTTTTGCAATCACAAAATGTTATTGGCGGCTTAGTGCGATTTTGAAAGTGAATGGGGAGTTTACTGCAAAATTAAACATATTATGTAGTTTATAATGCAAGACGTAATGGTTCAATCTTTCGAATAAGTTTTGTTGGATTTAAATCTAATTAAATCTATTTGTGGGCACATATGATTAATCAATGTGTATTACTATCTTTAAGGATAACCCACTTAAAGTGATCAATCAATTTGGGTTAATAGGTATTTAAATAAATCATGGGGGTTATATGTGCAGATACCAGGTTGTAATTATAATTTGATGAGGGGCCAAATTACAAATGTACAACACCTATATATAAGGGGTTATGGTCCCTAATCTAGGGTTAACCACTCTCATTCTCTTATCCCCATCTAAAGAGATCCATAAGAGAGAAACCCTAAGGTTAGAAGATCATCAAAACCCTAATCAAGTTTTCTTCAATGGATTCAGGTATATGCTTCCGCATCTTTTGATTCTTGTTAATCTCTTTGAATTCAATCATGGCTTTATGGTTTTAGATCTCAAGTTTTTATTAGATCTAACAAGTGGTATCAGAGCCATCATTGATTTGTTCTAAGAGATTAAGATTAAAATTAGGGTTCTTTGATCTTAATTTGTGTTTGATTCGGATCCGTTCACGGATAAACAGTAAAGTTTCTTATTTTCGGATGAACAGTAACCGTTTTGTTTTCGGTGAACAGTAATTTTTTTATTTTCGGGCGAACAGGCAAAATATATTTTCGGATGAACAGTAAAGATTTTTATTTTCGGATGAATAGTAAAATTCTCATGTTGTTTGGTTTTTCTTTCGATTTTTGGATCTGTAGCATTTATGAACTCTAAAGTTCATTTCTTTTGTGTTTGATTCAATTTTTGAGGTTTGGATCTAAATGATTTGAGTTAAAAAAAAAAAATTCTCAAACGAACCCTGAGTTCGTTCTCAAACGAACCCACGTTCGTTCTCTAATGAAACATGCGTTCGTTGAACGTTGCGTTCGTTGAACGTTGCGTTCATTCTCAGGTCGAGCATCACGTTCATTTTCAGTCGAACCTCGCGTTCGTGCTTCAGTCGAACCTCGCGTTCGTACTTCAGTCGAACCTCGCGTTCATCCTTCAGTCGAACGAACGCGCTTCAGTCGAACCTCATGTTCGTCCTTCAATCGAACCTCGCGTTCGTCCTTCAGTCGAACCTCGCGTTCGTACTTCAGTCGAACCTCGCGTTCATTTTTATTTTAATTGTTCTTGGCTGCATGGATTTAGACTTTGCATTAAGAACTGAACAACCCCAACCTCTCAATACGGATAGCACTCCTGATACAAAGAAGGAGTATGAGAAATGTGAGCGTTCAAATCGCATGAGTCTAATGATCATTAAGCGCGGCATTCCGGAAGCCTTCAGGGGCATAGAATCCGAAGGGATTACTAAAGCTAAAGATTTCCTTGCCGAAATTGAGAAACGTTTTGCGAAAAACGATAAGGTAGAAACAAGCATACTTTTAGCTCGCTTGATTTCAATGAAGTATAAGGGCAAAGGAAATATCAGGGAGTACATTATGGAAATGTCTCATATTGCTTCAAAGCTTAAGGCACTTAAACTCGATCTTTGTGACGAGTTATTAGTGCATCTGTACATCTGGTTCTGTTGTCTCTTCCTGCACAATTCAATCAGTTTAAGGTCAGTTATAACTGTCAAAAGGAGAAATGGAATCTAAATGAGCTCATTTCATACTGTGTGCAAGAAGAAGACATGTTGAAGCAAGATAAGACTGAAAGTGCTCATTTGGCCTATGCCTCTAAGGATAAGGGCAAGAAAAGAAAGAATGATAATGAAGCTGCTAAGGGTCCAGTTGAGAAGAAACAACATAAGGATAATCAGGGTTGTTTCTTCTGTAACGATTGTACCAAATATTACGCCTGGCGTGCTAAGAAGGGGCTGCCTGAGCTACCGGAAGCCAAGTGATGGTGAAAGATACATCTTTGTGGGCGATGGTCAGTCAGTAGATGTGGAAGCAATTGGGCACTTTAGGTTGCTGTATTATCACAAAAGAGCTATATCGATAAGGTACTTAAAAGGTTTGGCATGCAAGATTGCAGACCAGGTGACACCCCTGTTGCTAAAGGAGACAAGTTTAGTCTCAATCAGTGCCCTAAAGGTAACCTTGAAATTCAGGAAATGCAGAAGATTCCTTATGCTTCGGCTGTAGGAAGTCTAATGTATGCTCAGGTATGTACGCGTCCGGATATTGCGTACATTGTTGGGATGTTAGGCAGATACTTAAGCAACCCTGGTATGGATCATTGGATAGCAGTCAAAAGGGTTATGAGGTATCTTCAGAAAACAAAAGATTACATGCTCACATACAGAAAATCAGAGAAATTAGAGGTCATTGGGTATTCGGACTCTGATTTTGCTGGATGCCAAGATAGCAGGAAGTCTACATCAGGCTACATTTATATGTTAGCAGGAGGAGCTATATCATGGAAAAGTGTCAAACAAACACTAGTAGCTTCCTCCACTATGGCAGCAGAATTTGTAGCTTGCTATGAGGCATCCAATCAGGGAATATGGCTGCGAAATTTTGTCACGGGACTGCGCATTTTGGAAAATGTTGAAAGACCACTAAGGTTATATTGTGACAATAAATCTGCAGTAATGTATTCCAATAACAACAGGAGCTCAACTAAGTCAAAACATATTGACATTAAGTTCCTGGTTGTGAAAGAAAGGGTACAGAGTGGACAGATATCCATAGAGCACATTGGGACAAACTCCATGATAGCTGATCCTCTTACTAAGGGATTGCCACCTAAGGTCTTTCATGAGCATACTGCTCATATGGGTGTGGTATTATTTGAGGATATTATGTTTTAGTGGGAGTTTGTATTTGTGGTGCTTTATGTTTGTTTGTATTGTCTGATCAGAATAAAGTTTTCAGTTAAGACACTCTGTTACATTATGTTTGGTTTTGACCTCACTAAGGAGGACCAGTTGAAAATAGACATGTACTGATCACATTGCATGTAATTTTCATGCTGCACATCCATGATTGATCTATGTCGTTTGATTGTATTGGTATATGTGACCATTGATGGGTCGAGTCACGATAAATGTGACGAAGGCCGCTTTGATCCTATATTGATATAGTCAATGGACGAGATTGTTCGGAAATACCTTTTCAGTGATAGCAATTTTTGAGCTCATAAGGTTATACACAATTTAAGGAATCATATGGTGC